ACACAAGTAAGTATTGCTCCAGGGCTGTTGAACAATGGTGACGTTTTTTTTAAATGGTGTGTTTTTTTTGTGTGTGTTTTTTTTTTTTTTTTTTTGGGGGGGGGGTGTTGTTTGTTTGAGGAAAGATGAAGACATCGAGACAATACTAGCACACCTCCAAACACTCAGACACCAAACAACTAAAGACACACATCTGCCATATATGCGGAAAGTAATATACACAAGCAAGTCCTGGTCCAGGGTTTTTAACAATGGTGAAGTTTTTTGTTTTGTTTGTTTTGTTTGTTTGTTTGTTTGTTTGTTTGTTTGTTTGTTTGTTTGTTGTTTTGTTTTGTTTTTGGGGGGGGGGTTGTTTGTTTGAGGAAAGATAAGGAACACTGAGACACCAAACTCATAAAGACACACATCTGCCATATAATTATGCAGAAAGTCATATACACAAGCAAGTCCTTACAAAGGTTAGGATATTGTTTTAATAAGGAGGGTAAAATATTGACGTTTGAGTAAAGAGAAGTACATAGACACAATTATATCCTTAGCATTTCCCCAAGCACCCAGGCACTAAACACCTCACAATAATATGCATCAGTCACATACAAAAGTAACTTCTGGAGGACGTTAGCATAATTGGTCGCTTTTAAGGACAAACCTACTAACCCAGATTTCGGTGGTTTCCAGAAGCCTTGATCTACACTAAAATGTGGGAATTTGCTCTACCTATAGGAGAAGTTTGGTTTGAGTGGTGTGAATATTTGTTTGGTTATAGAGAAAACTCTCCTTGTCTTTTAAAGAAACTGAACAAGGGGCAAAAAATTTAACTTCGATTTGCTCAAAACAGCATTTTTGGGGATAGCCCCCTTGTGCTTATAAGCGACCAATTATACCCTTCGCATATCCCCTAGCACCCAGGCACTAAACACCTTACAATATGTGAGGCATCGTGGCGGAATCAAGCTCTCGTCAATTTTTGGGCATGTAGAGTTATTGGTATCATCTTAAAGTTTGTTCACTTGTCTTTATTTGGATGAAAAAATATCCATTTATCTAGAATACAAGTCGAGATATTTGCAAATGAAGGAGGTCACCTATTTTCAGGGGTAAAATTAGTGAGAAAATGGCCGCCAAAGATTAGTTATTTCCTTAGCTTAAGAGTCTGTGGTAACTGAAAATTTATATTTTGTGCCTTTAATCAAAGTTTTAAAGAAAAATCCACAGAGAAATGAGTTCTTTATTGGGCATGAAAAGTGTTGAGCCAAAAAACAAAAATTTGATAAAAATTCACAAACCTGCGGAAAAATGCAAGTTTCTTCACTTTGATTATTTTGACGAGAGCCTGATTCCACCACGCTGCCTCACATATGCAGGAAGTCACATACATAAGTACGTTCTGAAGGAGGATAGCATAATACTGATGGGAAAGGAAGAGAGCAAACCACAGCAGAGAAACGGCCTACCAACCACTCCGAGAATGATCCGAGAAGCAACATCCAACGACTGGGAAAGCTATATACATGTATATCGAGGAAAAGAAAAGAAGAAAGAGAGCAAAAAAAGAAAAGAAGAACAAGAAGAGCAAAAAGAAGAACAGGAAAAAGAACAAAACGAACAAGAAAAAGAAGAAGAAAGAAACCCAACTCCGTCTGTCTCCTGGAATGGGTCCCACAGTGACCAAATTTGCTTTATTTAACATGTAGGGTCGGTACAAACCACCCCTTAAATAATTTCTATCTATCGATTGGGATTGTGTGTGCACAAAATAGTGGGAAGACGTGGAATAATATTATAAAGATGCTATCCCTGGATAAGGAAGGAGGAAAGTGTTTGCTTGTACGTGGCCTGTACCCCGACCCGGGGGTGAGGAAGACATTGATGACGATGATAGGGACGGGAAACTTGTGCCACCAAGAGGTCAAGGCGACCCTCTAGATAAATAAAGAATTTGAGGAATAAAAAACAACAAAAACACACGCAACAAACAAACAAAAACAACCACAACAGCAAAAAAAAAAAGGTTTTTTTAATCCATGAGTTAGATCTATCTAGGCTCAACATTTTTCTTTAAAAGGATTTTTTTTTTTTTTTTTTGGGGGGGGGGTTATTCTTTTTTGTTTGTTTTGTTTTGAACGTGAGATAAAACAGGTCATAATGATCAAAGTCGAGCGAACCTCAAGGCATCATTAATTGTTTTGTCTCCGCACTTGAGCAGCCTCAATTGATAATCTATGACAATTTTTCCGCATTTCTCAATAACACCTAACTTTTTTTCCCTTTCTTTCTTTCTTTCTTTTTCTTTCTTTCTTTTTTTTTTCTTCTCTTTTTTCTTTTTTTGAACCACAATATTTCTGAACGCACGTCTGTCAAATTTGCCCGATATTGTGTTAAAAGGCTGGTTTGTGTCACATGCAGTTGTGCTTTGTGTAGAGCATTAATTTATCCCCTTAGCCCTAATGACGCGATTGCGCGGGGTGCGGCAAATTTGTTCTGTCGTTTCTCCAGTGTAAAGCAATCATTTATTTAACAGACAGCGCCTACGTGGGCGGTTGGCGAGTGTTCCAGTGTGGTTTCTCTCTTTCTCTCCACTTTAACGTGTATCGTCCTACCTCTCCTCCTTTATCATCATCATCATCATCATCATCATCATCATCATCATCATCATCATCGTCATCGTCATCACCATCTTCATCTCATCCCTTTTTTTATTTATTCATTTTTAAATTAATCTTTAATTTAAAAAAAAATATATTTCGTATGTTACTCTCTATTATCACCCCTAATCTTCAGCACATAATGTACGACCTAATTGTCTCACATGCACCGTAAAACACTCACTAAAACACGTACTTATATCTGCTATTGCTCTCTGTCTCCCCAGGAAACGTACCTAACCCGCCATATGGCCAAGCACTCCCAGGAGAATATGCCCAAGATTATGACTCGGCCAATCAAACAGGAGCCTATGGACTTGGTGGACCGCGACTTCATTGGGGCCCGGCTCCCCGATAAGTCCACTCCCTCTGACCTTAGCATGAACCCCACGGGGGCCAGCTCATGCAGTAAAGGGGGTGCGCCTTCGTCCGCCTTCATGCCATTGTCTCCCTTTGCAGCCAATACTGTTAGTTCTTCCTCTGGCCCCGGATATCACTACAGGTGAGTGGTGAGCCTATCAGAACCGTTTACACTGAGTCGTGAACCAATCAAAACCGGTCCAATCAAAGTTGTTTATGTGCATTGAGTCGTGAACCAATCAGAACAGTTTACACTGAATCCTGAACCATTCACAACCTTTGACACTGAATCGTGAACCAATCAAAAAAATTTACACTGAATAATGCAACAATTTACACTGATTCATGCACCAATCAAAGCCGGTGTACACTAAATCATGAACCAATCAAAACCTTTGGTCGTTGAATCATGAACCAATCAAAACTAGTGTACTGTGATTCATAGACGAAAAAACGCCATAAAGGCACCATGAAAATGTCTTTGATAGATCTTAACATTAATCCCTTAACATGGGAGAACTTGGCTCTATACCATACCATACCATGCCATACCATACCATACCGTAGCATAGCATACCATACCACACCACACCACACCACACCGTAACACACCACAACACACTACACCACACTACGCAACACCACATCACATGTATACTAAACTATCTCCTCTCTACCCCCAATCCCAATCTCCCCCGCCTCCCCCACCTCCCCCACCCCCACCGTCCCGTCCACAGCCCGGGGTTGAGCCACAACAGCCTGAGCTCCCCCCTCCCCCACATTTCTTCCATGGCGTCGCCCAGATATTTCCCCTACGACCCCATCGGTTTCGGACGCAAGGCGGACGCTCCGGACCGCAACCTGAACATGGGCGTCCCCCGGGAATCGATGATCGCAAACTCTCTATTGAGCCTGCAGCATATAAAAAACTACGCCTCCCAGCAGATGCCAAGCTTCAACCCTGCCCCTACAGCCGGTTCCAGGCTGGCCTAGTCTTCTCTGGACATCGACTAGACTGTTCCCGATACAATTCCTCTTCCTGCACTTTTCATAGCGCGATGGAACCAGGCGCAAACCTTCTAACCAGTTTTTAAATTAAAGATTCTATTACATTTTTTTTTTTTTAAGTTTCAAGTCCTTACAGACTCGGAACTAGTCATTTGAAATGCGCATATTTCAACTGGAAAAAAACCCAGTAAAGTTTTAAATGAGATTTTTGTTTCGCCATAATATGAAATAGAAGTTAAGTACCTCTTTTGATAGAAGATATCAATTGTTCCAGTTTGAAAAATCAAACGGTCTTTTTTATCCATATTTTTTTCTTTTAAACACGTATTTTTTCTTTTAAGAATGGAAAGCTATAACTTTTGATAACTTGGTAATGTTGATAAGGGCCTTAAAACCCAAACACTAATTTTACAAATGCTATGAGTTAGACGGTTTGCGCCCACGACCATCGCTACCCTACCTTCTGGTGATAGCGTTTGACCACAGGAGACAACACAATTTGGGTGTGTGGTGGGTGTTTGTGGATAGAAACAATCTGTCGCCGGACGCAGCTACTCTGTAGAAGTAGTGTATTTTGCAACGAATTTTTCAACGGCGGCTGATCTCTTTTGTCTACAAATTACCGACGGTTCATTTCTTTTTGGGTGGGGAGGTTTACGTACTGAGTAGAATGCTGCAAGACTATTTAATACTTATGACGTATTCATATTATTATTATTATTATTATTATCATTTCGTGGTCGGACACGGTATGTTTCTTCCTATGGGAATAGCTTTAAGCTACGCTAAAAGGGGCGCTAGAATTTTTGGGTTACGAAATAATTCCTTTGTTTTATAAAGTGGGAAATAAATGCGTTTTTTTTTTTTAAGTAGTATTTTAAAACGTTGATACTACGAGTAAAACATGCTTCTTTGTCTTATCATTTGACCAAAGACAAAGAAAAAAAAATGTTTCCAACTTCTTGAGCGCAATAGTTATAGTATTTTTGTCTGTGAGCTGTTTTTTTTTTCTTAAGATCCCAAGACAGTTTAACACAAGTCAAAAACTAGAAAACTACTTACTCTGTTATCTATCTCTTCTTTTATTTTCTTTGATTATAAACAAAAGCACTTTAATGAAACTTTATCATTATTGCTATAGACCTGAAAAAGATTGTCTTAAAGCTATACGTTTTCTTTCCAAGAAAGTGGTTTCGTTTCTTTTTGTATCACAGTTTCATTAAACTCCCAAACCATATCACGCCTGTAGAGATGAAGACAAGGCGTTGGTAAGATTTTGAGGAGTCGTTTACTTAACGTTGAGGATAGGAAAGTTCAGTATTTAATAGTTATTTTCTTTTACTTTTGGGAATAGGAAGCTACTATACAGTGATCTGCCCATGGGAACTTTGAAACGAGCATGTCTTTATGTTGTTAATCAGACATGTTAAGGGGGGTGGGGGTGGCAGTTATACGCCATGATCTGGTTGTGTTCAAAATAATATTTGCTAATTGTGAAAAAGAAAAACGACAAATTGCGCAGAAGGCGTTCCTGCGAGGTATTCGAGTGTTTCTCTTGTCATAATTGCGGGGGGACAAAGCCACCTGTCGCAGCAGCGGTGCATTTTAAAATCTTTCAGAATGTCATCTCAATGCAATGTTGATGTACTATAAGGAGAAGAACGACACCAATATTTAAGGTTTGATGGCCGTGTTTGTATGACCTTTACACATCGCTATATATTTGTACAAAGAGATTTTTACCGAATCACAAAAATCATGTCCAAACACAGTGGAATGTGTTTGATATTAAGTTCCCCTTCGAGTTCTTGTCAATTCCCTTACTCGTTCACTTCAAAGTTTTGTTGTTCATTATACTGATGGAGAAGTTGGAAAAATATTGCACACACGGAGACAGTATTATTCTACAATGCTTGAGTCAATTTTTTGCTTCATATCAGAGGAATTTCTGGAAGTGGCAGTACTACAATAACGAAATATAAATGTTGATTTGTTGTGGTTTTTTTATGTGGCTTGCCTTTGATCTGAGCCACGTTTAATTTAAATGGTCAAGTCGATGGTGCTAAATATTTTTAAGCTCTTGAGAAATATTCTAGAGACACCCGGTCTTATAATATTTGACGCTCAGTATGGTTTTTAATATTATTTTGCCTTAACTGTTTTACAATTATAGTTTTGTTTCATTTTTTTCAAGTAAAGGAATATTCTTCACTTTATACACAGTAAAAGAGGCGAACGACACCCATCCTTTCTTGTCAGCTCATGTACAAATTTATATTTTTAAGGAGACAGAAGAAATACATCATCTTAAAAACTGTAAATTTATTTTACACTGGCAAAATTTATGGACAAAATCCATTTATACTTGAGAATTCGTCTGTAATAATTTGCTATATTATTGATATTAACAAAAATGTGCTAAAACCACATCGTTAAGTCCGGAAGGATTCCTTCTCAGTTGTGGGCAATGCGACCCCTTCAGTTGCTATTCGTGGTATATAATTTTCCCTTATCAACTTGCCCATATCACTGCCACGTTTGCATTGTCACTGAGAAATCCCTAATTCCAGACATACAAAAAATTGTGATCTTTCTAAGGAGCTAAAACTACATCAAGGTTGTTGTGTTTTTATTTTTTGACACACTTTTCATTTTCCTGTGAAAATGTGTTTTCAGAAGTTGTAAGTTTACTTTCTGGATGACGCTCAGTCGTATTCTCTACGAATGTTTTGTCTACTATAAAAATGAGAGCTATTGTCTTTTATTTATCACTTTTTATTCAGGAGGGCCGTTTTCTCTTACATCTTTTGTTTCGTTTATATTTTTTTCCAATCCTTATTTGTATGTGTCCGTAGTCACACGTGCGTCCAAGAACGATGTAAGCTTGGCTTTTTCTTTATTTTTCACTGTTACTTTTGTCTCTAGTGAATCGTTAATTCATCTCTAGATCCTATCTGGTCACTTCTGACACGAGTATAAGCCGTGGAAGTGTATTAGTTTCTACAGTTTGGTTTGAAGATATTGAAAGACAAAGATAGGGAAACGGTACTCTTACAAAGTAGTTTTCTTTCATGTGAACGTTAAAGTCATTGTGTTAAGATATATGTGGGGCAAGCAGCATGCCCCTACCTTACATTAGAATTGTCAAACGATTATTATGAGATAAACGAAATGATTGTTTATTGAAGACTAGGGACAAAATCTAGTTCAGTCTCCGCCCCTGTGTTGAGAGGGGTGTAAAAAATCATCTACCATAGTGCAGGCTACATCCAGTGGAGGAGGATGTAGCGGAGAACGTGAAGGTAGCACCTGGTAGCTGTTGAGCTACTCGCAGGATGGGCTACATCAGTTGAAGTATCAGGAAGACTAGGATATCTACCCCCCAAACCCCACAGGCAGTCCGAGGAATGCGGTGATCTTGAGGAAGATCCAGCGTTAGACGTAGCTGTTGTTTGTTGCTTTCCCCCTTTGCCCTGTGATCACTGCGCCGAATGGAGACTCTCTGTCTAATGGTGAGGTCTTGTAACAGTGAGATGAGACACCCTGGCATGGTTCAAATCTTTTTATCGCGATGACGAGCACGAGATAGCGGCACCCTTAAAACCTCAGTTCTTTCCAGCCAGTTCAGGCAGGCCTGTCAGTCGTCTCTCTCACGCAATGACAAAGGGGAAAACAGTCAACCCTGAGGCAATCCATGGAGCACACAGCGCAAAAGGGAAAAGCAACAAACATGGTGCAAAACAAACCCATAAGCCATTTGGGTCGACACAGTTTGAATTAGAAGCGTGGCTTCGGTTCTCTGTTCTGATTATTTAGCTCTGAGAAGTGTCAGAACTGTAGAAAGCGTCATTGCGAATGACGTTTTGAGCGTTTCAGAATCTATTACTGCAGACATTAATTTTACCTTGAGACAGGACGAGTTGCAAAGCAGGGCAACGTATCGCGCGTGTTAAATGGAACTTGAAGAAGAAAAAACAGAAACAATTTATGAACATATAGATCAAATTCCACTGGACTGTTGCGAATACGTCCGAAATTCAGGTTTGGTCACAAAAGAAAGCTATTCGGAATGAATAAGATTCTTTCAGACGCGCACGCCACGTATATGCGTATGTGTGTCTTTATCCGACGTAAAATCCCAGTGATTAGTTTTGCTTTGTGGTCAGTGGAACCAACGAAAATTTCCGGAAAGTTTTACATGTTCAAAGATTGTTTCTGGTTTCTCGTATTGCTATGGTCTGTAACTTTGTGTTAGTAACTTCTTGTGGTGATTAGCGTTAGATTGTGGATAGAACTAGCGCCTATATGTGATTTTTCATATTTCCTTTGTGTGTTCTACAGATAATATTATTGGTTTGCATGTTGTCCCCGGAATTCTCTTTCATTTCTTGTGATCAGTGATAGAATGTGGTAGCTCGGCCCGGCCACTCTTCACCATCGCGAAGAGATTGATTGTGTTTCTTAAGCGTGTTGACTGTGTTATATTATCGGTACTTTGTACTAACAATTTTACTTCACGTATCATCATTGTCCCTTCTTGGCATTTTGGATCATGTTCTCTGTCCGACGTCTTGTACATATTACTACATCAACTATTCCTGTGACTTCTTTTCTTGTTGCTATGTAGGTATGTCGTATGCGTGCATGTATGTGTGTGTGTGTCTGTTGTGAGTGTGTATGTACGTATGTACGTATGTACTTACGTATGGTATACGTGCTTGACTTTTTCGGCCCAACCCACACACAAAAACTATTCAATTGGGTGTAATGAGATGAGTCAGTAGAGCTAGACGAGGGTGATTTCATACTTAAATTATATTATGTCTGTTTATTATTGTACGTTCTCAAACTACAACTCTTCCATAAACTCATCGACTGTATTTCTACTGCAGCTTACATCTCTTCAATTCTAAAGCGCAGCCTCATTGCTGTAACAGATTCGAGGCAAACCACAGTTACATTATTATTACTATTATTATTATTACTATTATTACATTATAAGCTACTCATTCTTCCTGATCCCATCTTGATAAATGATACTATTTAGTTTTGTGCTCCATGTTTCTTTGAAGGTGTTTCTATGATTGATACTGTTGTTATTTTATTTCCTTCGAGACAGACACAGGAACGGGAAAGCATTCAGCGTCCGCGCGAGTTAAAGAGTTATCAGTTCATATGTCGCTGGACAAAATTTGCCTCTGGATTTGTTGAATTTTAATGAGCGAAGCGGTTGCTATGGAGATTGAAAGGGACTGATCTTGAACTGGCTGGGAAGAACTGAGGTTAAGGGTGCCCCCTATCGTGCCTCGTCAGCGCGACCTCTGACGTCATTTCCTTCCAGTCCCCATGGCAACCGCTGCTTCAATGGCAACTGTTCCTTGACTCGATGTTCTATACTAAATTATTATAACTCTCTGTTTTGAACTGGGCAGTGGTGCAGAGACAATGGCGAATTGTGGTTCTGTATTTTGGTTGAGACGTTATTGAATATCCCTTCTCTCTTCTTGTTGTTTCTTGCCCTTGATATAATGACGAAAAATGATCACACGAATGTTGTACCATGTTCTCATCACCGTTTGTCTTAGAGAGTATCACTCACTAGTGGTGGCAGTGTGCACTTAGACCTAGCGTCTACACATTTACATTTTTCTTTTGCTCATCCTCATAATTTTGGTATGGCATAGACATACATACGTTATAAAATATTGGATTACCTGTATAGATGATCTTGTCCAACGGTTCCTGTTGTGTAAATGATCTGCCATACAGATTTAGTTCGCTTCTGTTTTAAGGTTGGTGAAGCTGTGAGTCTGAGCGGGGAATCTGATGTTATTGTTTCTGTGTTGTTGTTATTGTTGTTGTTTTATTTTTAAAAATAATGTTTTGAAAATTTACTAATTAATTTTGTCACTCTGTTAATTACTTACTTACTGTTGGTTTTTCCCTCCCGCCAGCAATCATTGATGCATTCGTGTTTTGATGGTGTAACATTTTCTGTTCTTGTTGAATTTGAAAGTGTGTTTTTGGAAAGTTCAATGTGGCGTTTAACAGCACCTCAGTCGACTTATTTATCATTCGTTGTGATCGTTGTTGTTTACTCTGTATGTGATTGTTTATGCAGAGATTTGTTTCGTGTAATATTTTTATCAAACTAATTTAATATGCATCTTTTTAATGTTATTTGATTATAATTCTATTCGGTGTAGACTTAATATTGAGCGTTCTTTCCTTTGATGTCTTAATTTCATGGGGGGAAATGTCGAGAATACTGAGACCTTTCATACAAAATGTCAGTCATTGTTCACGTCTACCACAAATTTTAACGTTAACTTAGCTCAACAACCTGCTTTGATCAAGGAGAAAAAAAAATCCCCAACAAACATTGCGAATAGTATTAGTTTAAAACGGAATTATGAATGTCTGTCCAGTTGATCCTTTGGCGTCTTTCTTTCTTCCTTTTTTTTCCTTTCTAATTGTCGAATCCATTACCACTAGCGTAGCAATTATATCAGTTTTGTTTTGATGATACATGAATAAGGTTAGGATGTTGCGGGGTGTGTTTTTTCCTTGTCCTTCGGCTCTGAGAATAATGCCCTGGCGTCAAGGTTAACTGTCTTATGGTTCTCAGCAACAAGTGGCTATCCTTTATTTCTGTCTACTTTGTCGGCATTTCTGATCTGATAGCGCTTCTGTCGTTCTCAGCAGTCGGTGAACTATCTGTGGAGACGTAGGCTGTAAATCTGACCTCCAAGTGAACACAACGCTGACCGGGAACTATTCGTATCAATCAAACTTTGGATTTTCTCGTTAAATCAGCTTTTCAATAAAAAAAAAAAAAAAAAGAAATGTCAAGCATAAAGTAAATGGGTGGTTTTCATCCAGCTTTATTGTTTCTTGTAAGTTCGAATCTGTATCGTTTAAAAACATGGGCGTCACAATAGGGAAGAAATAGATACGGCAGTCTCCCCGGGGGTAATGCCAGAAGCTCGAGGATGTCTGAAGAGCAACTATTGTCAAAGGGTAAATATTATACTATGAGAGGGTAGAAAAAGATGCTTTGGTTTTAATGAAAAGAAACTCTTCGAGACCATGGCCTTCATTTAGTGCAGGGGGGAGCAAGACAGACAGAAAAATACCTACCCCCAAAAATATATATATTTAAAAATTACAAATTAGAAACAAAAATTAAATTAAATTAAAACATGATTTCAAATGATCCTTCAAGATAGGATGGCGAAGAGTCAAACGTTTATAGAAGATACATTTCTAGATTTTGTTCTGGGTACACTATCAGGCGCCATAGTGTTGGAAGACTGGATGGCAGCACATGAGAGCTCAAATTAGAAAGAAGCAGGGTCCCATTATCTTCCAACGCGTGTTTGATTTATACAAGGCAGCTTTTGAGACTTTACATGAGAAAATGAGCAACTCTTTTGAGTTTGAAGACTTGGCACCGGAATGAAGTTCTTATAAGTTTGTTATTTTTACTTTAGTTTTTTTTAATTAATGAAAACAATGGAATGGATAAGATGGCTTATTTTACATCGAATGTCTGGACTCAACATCTCATACCTTTAGAAATAGACACTATAAAGAAGTTAGCTAGACGTGTTATACTTATCATAAAGCCACTTTGATTGCAGCAACTAGCCACTTCTACATTTCTAAGCGATTCTTCATAATTATGTCTATCTGCATTTCTATTGAAATGTCTCTTCGACTTTTCTTTGTTTCATTTATTTTTGGTGTAATATCAGTCTATCTTCGTAACTAAATAAGAAAATAAAAAATAAAAAAAGGCTCTGCAATGCGTATATCAAAGAAAGCGTTAGTTAGGAAAGACAAATTTCACAGTGAGTGTTCACAGAATTTTGAAAGTAAGCGTTCCGCTATTGTCCGTCTAAAAGTAATTTCGAAAGAAACAGACGCGTTGTTAGGACAGGACTTAAGGACGTGTATGTAGTGTTTAGGCATTCACTAATTGGGAGTATTGTTGGTTTCATTTTTTGCGCATTCAGCTATTTTTCCAGTAGAAAACCATGTTTTGAGGTCAGTTAACATTAATTCGATTTTACGAAAAGGAAACACGCCAAAAAAAGGAAATAAAACAAAAAAACGAGTAAAGATCTAGAAAGATTTGCTGCGGAATATAGGTGTCCTTGCAACGTGAACAAGAAGTGGGATAAAATTGAGATGATCTTTCTGTGTACCTTCTGCATTGCATTTGGAACCTCTTGACTTTTGGTAGCACGCCATAAGACTCCTAGTCTGTATTCCCTTTCTCAGCGTCTACTGCGCTGTGACCGTAACACACTCCCTCCCCTCCTTGTACAAATAAAAAAAAGGGGGAAAAAAGCAAGAAATAAAGAGAAAAAACCCAAAGAAATAAAGAAAGAAAAAATCAGACTGTCTTTGCAGTTACACCCCTCTGCTACCAGAACTGCTATACACTTATAATATACTTGTAGTAGTCTCATCACAAAAGTAAAAGTAAGTCTTATCACAGAGTTTCAGAGTCTCGGGCAGAGTAAGGAAAGGGTTTTAGAAATTAAAAATGAAAAATATCAGGCAGATAATCACACTAGGTCCCATAGAGGTGTCCGTCTTGTGTTTCTTACGCCGTGGGCCTAGGTCTATCTCAACCCCTGCCCCCCGGTCACTGTCCACTGTCCACTGTTTTCATACCCCCATTGTGATGAATGATGGAACCAGTGAGCATGACTAAAGGAGGGTCATGTCAACCTATTTTTGCTCAATATTATATGTCTTTATGGTTGATTTATTTACACTCTCTGTGAGAACCACGTGTTTCCAAACTTTGGCGAGGCGTAACTCATGTTTTCATCAATGTTTAGGGCATAGAACGGATGTTTTGTTGTTCCCTGTTTCGTTTTTCTTTTAATTCGTCATATTCTTCATATTATAATGCATTGCACAAATAGTTTCTCTTTCAACTTGTATAAACTATTCATGTTATAGCGATATTTGTCTATTGCTTAGTGTGGTTTATTGAAATGTGTCCTATTTTCGCAGTCAACCCCACCCCCACCCCTTTTCCCCTCCCCCGATACGTTTTAGCCCGCCCTTTACAATTTATTTGAATAACGGAGATTATTGTTTCAGTTTGGGTTGGGTTGGGTTGAGGGTTTTTTTTTCTTCTAAATTTCAGGCGGCTACACCACCAATTTTTAGACCCCCTAAGTACTGCGCCATTCCTAACTGTATCTTTGAAAGGAACACTTCGTGCTAATTAATCTATTCAACTTTGACCCCAGCATCCCCCGTTACAGAAAATGCGTGAGTAAACATTTGGACGCTCTGTAAATTTGTCACAGAGGATTTTGGGTTCGAAATAAATAATCCTGTTTATTAGAAATAGAAAACAAAGCCCTTGTTTTCAGTTTATCACTAAGGGCAATGGTTCGTTTGACGTCACACATCTGTGGTAGCATCCACACAGAACGGTTACGTTACAGCCGTTTGGTAAATTGTGTCAGTAACTTAAAGGAGAAAAAAAAAGGAATAATAAACTGTTTTTATTTTGTTGGTTCCTGTTCATAAAGTTGTTTGTTTTCTCATAAAGCACATAAAACCACGTGGTTATAGACCCTTGTTTTCCCCAACTTTGTCCTGAGAAAAACAAAGTAAGTTTTTTTGTTTGTTTGTTTTTTAAAATTATTTCATTCGTTTTGTGATTTCATTTTTTTACGTCGTCCCGACTCGCTGCACAATTCTGGCTTGATCAGTAAATCTAAATTGAATGCGGTTAGTTATGTTATTATTACAATTTTAGTCTACAGTCTGGGAAGGGATGGTGATTCGAAACAGTAATTTACTACATCTGATAGAATTGTCCATAACGCCCGGTACTTCCATTTATTATCGAGTTTCATTCAGGGTTACTGACTACTTGCTTTTCACCTGTTAGCCCAGTACTTGGATTAAATAATTGTCATTTCTTTTTTCTCCGCCCTTGTAGTACTTCATTGTTGTAACTTATTTCCAAACTGTTCTGGTGGTGGTGGTATAGTCGTTTAGACTTAAAAAATCGAAGAATATTATGTCTCTGAAATGATATCACCTTCGCTGATAGTAATGTTCATCTTTTCGGGGTATTTTTTCTTCTTTTTTATGTTTTGTTTTGTTTTGTTTTGTAGTTATATGATTTGTATTGGGGTTTTTCCCCCAACACTTAAAAAAACCTTTTTTGAAAGAAAAAAAAGAAACCCAAAACAAACAAAAACACACGGTTTGGTTTGGAAGTTTAACCTATCTCTTTAGCTGACTACAAAAACACCTGTCTCTCGTAAATTGAACAAGGAAGTAAGACTGCAGACCTACTGTTGTTTCTCCAGCTGGCTCTTGGTTCATTAATCACCTAAAGTGAAAAAAAGAGAACAAGTTGAGTGCATCTACTTAAGTGGGCGTGTCCAATATTCTTGCACCAGAGAAATGTTCACCCAGGGCCTGTACTGTAACTGTCCATGATACGTTCCAGCAGGACTTTCTCGAGAAAAAAAAACCACCCCAAAAAACCAACAAAGCAACAACATTTGATCAGTGTCTCTTCCGATGAGTTTGATGTTTTCACAAAGATCTACCGTCTGACTAACTACTAAGTGACACTATTCTGTGGGTTATTACTTTTTTTTTTTTTAAGTTATTTTTATTTCTTACATTAAGTTGGACTAATAATGCACAGTCGATAAAACATTGCCTCCTCTTCATAAATAGAAGATGGACATTTATTAGAACTAGCATCAGACTACATTTGTATTATTTAAGAGGTAGGCTTTGTTGTTTGTTTGTTTGTTTATTTGTTTGTTTGTTTTTTTCTTTGGTAGATTTCTTTTCGTAGGAACTGTGCGATAACGTAAAAACCGGTGTCTGCGGTGGAATGGTTAGATTCTTCACCCTGTATGCAGAAGACGTGAGATCGATGTCCGTGTGGGGAAGTTTATATATTCGTTTATTTATTTATTTATTTATTTATTATTTTTAAAGGTAGAGTGGCTGATCTGTCGTTCTGTTGGGCTGTTGTACTCCCTTAGGCTTGGTTTGGCCTCAGCAGGCAAACCAGTTCCGAAATATTCTAGATTTTTCGAAGAGATCGTAACAGGGGAAAAGACAGTCACAGTCACGATTAAGAACCAAGGAGTCTGTTTGCTTTAATTACTGTACATTAATTATTTATGTAGGTGAAGTGGTCACTAGAATCAAGTCATACTCTTATAGATCTACGTTAATTTGGTGAAGCAGTTGTTTTAAAATCCCTAAGAAATTATTATGCACAATAATTCGAAAATCAGAATTTTCCTAGAATGTGGTTCTTTGACGTAATCAGACAAAGAAAGGCGAGGACGGCCCATAAAAGTAAAATGAAACAGTTATTTTTATTGCTGAAAACGATAGAATTTTGATTGTTTTCTTTACTACAACTACAGCGATGGAAGTAAAAACCTTGAGATACAATGCTTTATTGAAGAGAGACGAAGGACACACTAATTCCCCAATTGTACAGGACTGCATATTATATCAATCGGTGCTTTTTGTTTCGTCGAGTACTACTTTGTTCACATATTTCATTATATTATGTTTATTTGCAGAACATTCAATTACGCTTTCAACAATGATTTAATTTAGTATTTTGAACTGGGGATGATATCTTCTCTCAGTACTTCCTCTTCCGTCTCGCTATATTTCCAAGTAATGCGTAAACTCTAGCTGTTCGTGATTCTTTTTTTTTAACTTCTTTTTTTTTTTGTCTTTTCCGATTACATGCAAAACACGTTAATTACGAGATTACCAATGTGCAATGACTATACTTTCCTTCTTAATGTCTTCAAAGAGAATTTGTGCTACCCTGGTTGAACTGAATTGCCCTCTATTTGTTTCAATTTGTTAAGATTGCTTTTTTCATGTTAGATTTTGTTTGAAAATAACAGCATTAACTTCAGTGCTTGTTGCAGTCCAAAAGAGAAGGTCGTTGACCGCAGTTATCGGAGAATCGAAATGCTAATGTAATAGATCTAGATCTATACTTTATATCTTTAATTAAAGACGAAGGAAGTTGCAAGGTTATACATGTACCTTGAAAATCTTTATTGACAATGTTTTTAGAAACAGCAAGTGTGATTCGAAAAGTTCTGACTTATCGTATGCCAGATATAGATTTTTTCTTTCTTTCTGACACACATGTTCGGTTTTTGTTATATTTTTTTCTGTTTATTATAATTATTATCAATTTTTAAAAAATTGTGTTTGTTTGTTTGTTTGTTTGTTTCTCTTTATTTCCGTTTAACGTCGAATCGTTGTCATACATTTGTGGAATTTTAACAGAAAAGGTTTATAATGTGACGAATTTTTAAACGTTTTTTTGGGGGACAGAGATAGGTACATTGTACTAGCATTCATGTTACAAACTGATGCAAGTCGTGCTATATTCTCTGCCCCTTGTGGTCAATTGGCCGTTGGTCTTTTTCTATAAATAAAACAAAGCTGTTCATGTTGTAATGTTTCTCTTTTTCTGTATATTTTTTGTTTTGCAAGAAAAGGGACTTTCTGTTTTTTGGGGGGAGTTATTGAAGACTGAGAAATAAGAAATTCTAAAGTACTAGGTTAACCTTTTATACGTGTTGTGACTACGTTAGTGTCTTTGATTTGAAACATCTTTTTTCTATGTGCTGTATAAACATGCGTAATTATGCTTTGTTATTAATAATTAAATAAAAGGAATCCCCCCAGCTTTGTGTTGTTTTCCCATGACTTCAAGGTGCTTTCTCGGATCTGAGTGGCTTTCATATTGTTGTTTTTAATGCAGCTTTCATCTGAGAGAAATTCTTCGATGGGCACAAATAAATATTAGTTTAATTTATTTTTAATTTAAGTTAAAGACCAACACTATGGTTCTTTCTTTTTCTTTCTTTCTTTCTTTCTTTCTTTCTTTCTTTCTTTCTTTTTTTCTTTCTTTTAAATTAAATTAAATTAATTATTGTTATTATTACTATTATTATTATTTTTTTTAAAATTTATATTATTAAAAGAAAATAGTTATTATTTATTTACTTTTCTTGAATTTAAAGTTATCTTGATCAACAGTACATTATTTTTTAAAACTTTTTTTTCATTTTATTTAATTGGGGGAAAGGGGGGGGGGGGGGGTCGGTAACCTATGCTAGACTGAAATCCATGTTGCTATAAAAAAAAGTTTTAGATTTAGTACATGTACCTGTTTTACGGCACTTGCAACACAATACGGTCATATAAGGGCCGAAGATTAGAGGTGTTACAGGAGAGCAACAAACTCAAAAAAGCTAGGAAAGAAGGAGCAAACCACACCAGACCACCCGCCAACCACCAACAAATTGACACAATTTCGCTCATATAATTATAGTTGGAGCTGAGCTTCCTACCCAGCCTAATAGGGTCACCCCGGGCTGAGAAGGATGTAATATCCCAGCAGAAAGACCGAAATCTCGATAAAAATTCTCCCCGCTGGGGAATCAAATTTGAGTCTCATGTGTGTGATGATAGCGTAGCGTCAAGCCACTACACCACAGACTCCGGTAATGAGGGAATTTTAGTTTTAGTAAGAGTTTTACGGCACTTGCAACACAAAAAGATCATATAAGTGCCGAAGATTAGAGGTGTTACAAGAGAGTAACGAACACAAAAAGGAGGGAGGGGAGATAAAGACAATAGAAGTTTGACGAAAGGAAAGGAGTAAAACAGCAGCAGAGCTCCCGCCAACCACCCGCATTGAGAGAATTAATCTCCCGCCCTTTGACTAAGGCCCTTGTACATTGCCACTTCGTTGTTTTAGTTTTAATAACATCGGCACTCGTTACTGCATAAGTAGGTCAAATGAGCGCCAAGGGATGGATGTCAACAGAAAAGTTCAAAACAGGGAATCAGACTTACTCTGCTCACCTCTCTGGCCTCAGCAGCACAAAGTCTGCTTCGACTATCGAGGCACCCCGGAAATAGCAGTTCAAAAGAGAGTGACAAACAATTAAAAGAAGTACATGTAGAGAAAAATGACGATAGTAAGGATGAGGAAAGAAAAAGTAGCACTTTCCCCTATGTTGTTCGGGCACAGTATGAGCATGACGGTAAATCAGCCCATTTACAATTCTACTGAGCATAAAAACATGTTAATATCCCCCCTTTGGGACTGGCCGAAAGGCACTTCAGTAAGTAGCACTCCCCTGAGGGCCTGGGGGTGGTGTGGGGGGGGGGGTAGTTCTGCCTGACATTTTATTTTGTTGGTCGTTTTGAGTTACTCAAGACTATGGGGTCATTTCTAAATCGTCTATTCTGCTCTATCAAACTCGAAAGATTATTCGAAGTCTTTATCCAGATATTTAAAGAATGTGAGGTCAGAACCCAAATGCTCTATCTCAGCTATCTGCTTGATCAAACTCGTAAGATAATTCTTAGTCGTTATCAAGATATTTAAAAAAACTGCTTCGAAAAAGCTTGACATGATGTTGTTGTTGTTAGCGAACCAGTAGCATCTGAGCGTTAACTCTTCTTCATGAAGCCATTCTGTAATAGCTGCATGTCTGTTATAATTGTTGCCTTGAGGAGTAGAGGCAGTTAGATGTGTTGGGTACCTTGGAAAGAAAAAATCCCCTCAAATGAGTTAGTTTTCTGCAGAAGAACAGATGACGTTCCACTGTCTCTGAGGGGTAGTCACATAGTGGGCAGGCAGCAGACTGCTTTACTCTAATTCGGTTGAGATGTTGATTGAGAGGTACAAGTACATGCACTGTTCTAAGTTGGAAGATTGCGGATGATGTGAAACATGATTTGAAACTCAAAAATTTTGACGTCAGATTTCTCAAAACTAAGCACTGAGCAAATAGAACTTTATAGTTCTAAAGTAGCTCCATGTTTGAACGTCCACCGTCTGCTAATGCCCAGTGAACACTGACAATCGAATTGAGTTGAACTGAGTTGGGACCAAACAATTTCCATCATGGAGGTGCAACAGCTGCCATTATGGCACAATACGACCGATTCGACTGGCGACCTTGAAAACCAAACTCATTTGACTTCGAAGGTCACAATCGAATTCAGTCAAACTCGAACCTTACTCAATCAAATGGATTTTACTGGCAGCATGCACTATGTATAAGTTTGAAACCTAGAATTCCAAGAGTGAATCTGTGAAAAAATGGTTGTTACTTTGCAAATAAATAAATGAATAAATAAATAAACAAACAAATAAAATTTAATTAATTAATTTATTT